ATATCATAACTCACAGGTTAAACGTCAGCCCATTACACAAACCCGTCAGACAAAAAAGAAGACGCTTTGAAAAAGAAAGGAATGCCATTATAAACCAGGAAGTTGATACGCTGCTCCGAACCGGCAAGGTAAAGGAGGTAAAGTATCCCGATTGGTTAGCTAATGTTGTTGTTGTTCAGAAAAAGAAAGGGCAGGAAGAAGGCAAGCCAGTCAAATGGAGAGTCAGTGTGGACTTCACTGACCTGAAAAAAGCGTGTCCCAAAGATTCATTTCCAATGCCACACATTGACGCTTTGGCTGACGCCACGGCCGGGCATGAAATGTTATACTTTATGGACGCATTCAGTGGATACCATCAAATACAGCTTCACCCTGATGACCAAGAAAGCACAGCCTTCATCACTGAAACAGGTACGTATTGTTATATTGTTATGCCTTTTGGACTAAAAAATGTAGGCGCGACGTTTCAGAGACTAGTCACCTTAATGTTCAAAGATTTAATGGGGGACACCATGGAAGTTTATATCGACGACATGATCGTCAAATCAAAGAAAAAAGAGGATCATATCTATCATCTGACGGAACCCTTCAGAAGACTGAAAAAGTACAATCTGAAGATCAATCCAGCGAAATGTACTTTCAGAGTGACGTCAGGAGAATTTTTAGGATATATCGTCAGTGAACGAGGAATAGAGGCGAGCCCGGAACAAATACGAGCAATTATTGACATTGAACCTCCAAAATCCGTCAAAGATATCCAGAGGTTGACAGGACGAATTGCGGCTTTGAATCGTTTCATTTCAAAATCGTCAGACAGGTGCCATTTGTTTTATGACGTCTTGAGAAAAAACAAAAAATTCGAGTGGACAGACCGACACGAACAGGCGCTTCAACAATTAAAAGAATATATGATGTCGCCACCATTGCTCGCAAAGCCTAAAAATGACGAAGAGCTACAACTCTATCTGGCCGTTTCAGAGCACGCCGTCAGCGCAGTACTGACAAAAGAGGAGCAGGGGCAGCAAACTCCAGTCTATTACGTAAGTAAATCCCTAAATGGACCGGAATCCAGGTATGCTTTACTTGAGAAATTAGTTTTAGCTTTGATCGTTGCTTCGATTAAATTACGTCCTTATTTTGAATCACATACCATTTGTGTTAGAACTAACTATCCCATGAAGTCAATCATGAGGAAACCGGAATTGACAGGTCGCATGGCTAAATGGTCGATTCAACTTGGAGCTTATGACATAAGATTCGAACCAAGAACAGCCTTGAAATCACAGTCACTTGAAGATTTTGTGGCAGACTTCAGTCCAAAGCTCCAAGAGGAAGCAGAAAAAGAGATTTGCGCTCTGATCGATGGATTCCCAAAGCAAAAATGGACATTGCACACTGACGGAGCGTCAAACCAAAATGGCACAGGTCTGGGCGTGATACTGAAGTCACCACAGGGGGACACCATGCTCCAAGAAGTACACTGCGATTTCACCGCTACGAACAATGAGGCAGAATACGAGGCACTAATCGTCGGACTCACGTTGGCAAGGGACTTGGGCGTCAAAATCTTGGAGGTAAAATGTGATTCTTTACTGATAATCAATCAAACTAACGGTGTGTATGCAACAAAGGACCCCAAGATGACATCTTATTTGCAAATTGTCCGAGAATTGATAACGGCATTCGACGAAATAACCCTTGAACAAATCCCACGAGAGGAAAACACACAAGCTGACGCTCTGGCCGCCGTCGGATCATGTCTAGGGGCAGAAATCAATCGCAACATCCCCTATGTGCACTTGATGAGCCCAGCAATTTACAGATCAGAGGTTGCCTCTACCATTAAGACCCCGGCACAAGACGACTGGACACAACAATACGTAGCATACTTAATGCACAATACTCTCCCAGAGGACAGAAAAGAGGCCAAGGCTTTCCTATCTAAGGCAAGTAAGTTTTTACTGATTGATGATGTGCTATTTAAAAGATCTGTCGCAGGTCCACTCCAAAGATGTCTGGCACCGCAAGAAGCCGCCAAAGTATTGAAAAACCTTCATGAGGGGGAATGCGGCAATCACGCAGCAGGGCGAAGTCTGTCTAACAAAGCTCTTAGATTCGGTTATTACTGGCCGACCATGAGAGAAGATGCAACCACCTTCACCCAAAGATGCAAGCCTTGTCAGATGCATGGACCAATTCGTCATCAGCCCTCCGAGACGCTTCACCCAGTTCTATCACCATGGCCATTTATGAAGTGGGGCATGGATATTGTAGGAAAATTGCCAGAGGCACCGGGGCAGAAAGTATATATGCTAGCAATGACGGATCACTTTTCAAAATGGGTGGAGGCTGAGCCTTTTCGACAGATACGAGATGACCAGGTGATTTAGTTTATTAAGAGAAATATCCTTTGCAGATTCGGCGTTCCTTCAGAAATCGTTTGTGACAACGGATCTTAGTTCATAAGCGCTAAAACCAGACGCTTTTGTGAGAAATACAATATCAAATTGGAAACGTCGACACCTAGGTACCCGCAGTCTAATGGGCAGGCCGAGTCTAGCAACAAGATCATCATTGCCAACTTAAAGAAAAGGCTTGAAAAGGCGCAAGGCCGATGGGCTGACGAATTGCCTTTAATACTCTGGACAGACAGGACAACTCCGAAAAATGCAACCGGACAAACCCCATTCTCTCTGGTGCATGGCTGCGAAGCGGTCATTCCTGCTGAGATTGAAATACCTTCTTCGAGGTATGGACTCATGACTGGGGAATTGAACAATGTGGAGTTGGTGCACGACTTGGATACCATTGACGAGATCCGTGAACGAGCCAAGATCCGTTTGCAGACATATCTACAAATGGTGGCAAAAAGCTATAATAAAAATGTTCGGCCAAAGGTGTTTCAAAAGGGAGATTGGGTCTTGAGGAGAGCATTTGGCAATGAAGCAGCCGGAAAATTTAGTCCTAATTGGGAAGGACCTTGCAAAATCATTGATGTCATCGGTCAGGGGGCATACTGCTTGGAGTCAATCGATGGTAAACAAGTCCCTCGAAGTTGGAATGCGGTACATTAAAAGCGTTTCCATTTTTAACAAAAAGTTTCTTTTCTTTTCTACATTTCTATCCCTATTACTAAATAACTAACTTGGCCGTCGGAGGGCCGTTGGCTTAAGGCCAACGACCAATCCTGACGATAATTGTAAATACAGGAAGGCACACAAAAATGGCCAAGTCACAGGTAATTAGTTACAGTTCATGTAATCTTGAATATAGTAAATACAATTCATCATTCACTAACTTGACCGTCGGAGGGCCGTTGGCCCCAAACCAACGGCCGATCCCAACGGAACGGTATCATCGCAGGACTATGACAGGTTAAGATCAAAATACCAGGTGACCAAATACCAGAACAACAGATAGAACATCAGATCTTCTCATGACAAAACATCAACATACAGGGGACATGGGACTCATTATGAAAAATCCATAAATGAAGCTCCATGAAACCGAGTACTTTTTGGCCAAAACACATACGCGTTTGTGACACAGCAAGACATATTGCACACATAAATAGCAGACATGCATACACAACAGAATGCACATAAACAAAATTATGATCCGAATAATAGCAAAAAACAGTGACAGATCCACATAGTGGTGTGGACAGGGCCAGGCTAAACCGCCAAGCATGAAGCTTGTGAGCAGCGTGATGAGGCGTTAAGTCCCGGATAAACCACCAGGCAAAGCGCAAAGTGTCAGAGTAATTCAAAATTAGGGAGTGTTTGTAATCCAGCGAGAAAAAGGGGAGCATAACCAGTTGACCGGTAAACATTAAAGATCAATATCATCGTCAGAGTGACCCACCTCGAAGCCGTCTTCTCCTACAGGAGGATCCATCTCTTCCCTCAACTTATGCCATGTAGCTACGTCCCGTTCCGCTGATTGGTGTGTCATTTCTCCTTTAATAAAGGATGTCATTAACTCACCCCTGGTCTTCCAGACATAATAGCAAGCGGCGTCAATTACTTCTTGCTTCTTTTTTCGACCATAAGCCTCCAAGGATTTGACTCTGGCATTGAGCTGCAGGATCTGGGCAGATTGAGTAGAATTTTTGTCTTCCAATCCTCGAACTAACCTTGCACTCCTATCAAGAGAAGATACTAGGGAAGTCTCCTTCTGTTTCAATTCGTCAACGGCTTTCTCTAATGAAGATACTCGAGCAGCAGCATCAAGGCTCGCTTGAATACTCTGAAAAAAGACAAGACAGTTTAATCAAGAGAAAAAAGGATGGGAGTTCATTAAGCATGGTGGTCCATCAGCACCTGAAACGCATAAGCGGAGGAGGCAGCAATGACACCGGTAGGAGGCAAGCAGTCAAAAAAGGAAGTGGCAGAGGCCAATTGAAATTGGGCCATCTCGTCTTTCATAATCAGAGCGTCCTTCAATTCACAGAATTCCGAGGAAAGTGATAAGTGCATAGCTTGTGGCGGCTTCGTTCGGGTATCAACCCCATGTTCCGCATTAGGGGTATCAGGAGTGGTAGCAGTATTAGGCATTGGGTATTTGGGGACCTTTGGAGGATTTGCTGATAATTTAGAGGGCATCCATTTCCTCCTCGATGCCATAGCCAACAAATCATGGTCAGAAGGAACGGAACGAGAAGTACTTGATGAAGTAGCTACACAAATTAAGGAGAACAAAAGTTAAGACTAATAGATCCAACGATAATAAAGAAGAGCATAAATCTCAGAGAATACCTGTAATAGGAGTAGAATTCTTGAATGGGGGCATGGGGGTGCTTTTAGCAGTAGGAAACACGACTTGAAGGGGGACGAAAGCACTCATACCCTCGCCGTCATCTTTGGAAGCTTCATATCCTTGACCTGAATCTTCTACGGAAACGATATGTGAATTCTGATTCAAATCATGTGCGGTGGGAGTGTGCCTACGAGATCGCCTTAACCCCACACAATCAGACTCAACGGGAAGAGGTGACGTACCTTGAAAGTCTGATACCAGATTCACATAAGTTCGATCCTCGACAGGGAACGAAAGAATCTTGGCGTTTCTCTCCTCAGAATGCAGACCGGGAACCAGTGGGATAGTCTTCCTCTCTGCGCGACACAGAGGAACCATGCTAAATACATCAAGTTTCATGCATATATCCAAGAACGCAAAAATATTCTGAAATTACCCATTTCCAATATCTACACTAGAGGTTACGAATCAAATAACAAAAGTTGAAGACAGAAATCAACCACAAAACACGATTCGAAAGAGAAACTGACCTTTGTGTAAATTCTCCTCCAAGAATGATCCATCAGAACCTAGAGACTCTTTATTTACAAAGAAGTACAAATTCATCCATCCCCGGTCAAGCTTTGTCCACCTTGTGAATTAGAGCTTCTTTCCCTTCTTTCACTGCTAAAGTGAAGCGACCGGCTCCTGAGGATCTGAGGTCATAGGTAAAACCCAAGTCTTCAAAACCCAGGGCCAGACTATGTTTCTCACTCAAGACCTCTAAAGCTCTAAGTACTCTCCATACTTGGGGCATGATTTGGGAAGGCGATACTCTGACGAAAGCAAGAAAATCTCGGACTAAATGTGAGAATGGGAATTTCATACCTATCTTGAAAGGGTACATCAGAAAGTTTACCCAGCCATCACAGAACCAATCTATCCTCTCGTTCGCTGCTGGAAAGCGAATAACCGCATCATGAGGAAAGCCGATGGAAGATTTGATAAAATCGACATGATGTTTGGAAAGTTTCGCTTGCTTGGAGTTCTTCGGATCCAAAATATGTTGCGGAATGAAGGGTTGTGAAGCCATGAAGAACCAATGTGTTGGCCAGGATTTGCAGAGAATCGAAAGGAAGAGAGAGGAAGGTTTTTCTTGCTGAATTAATTCGCTAAGGGAGGAAGAGGTTAGTGATTGACTGATACTGAACGGCTGACGGCCTTACACATTCCGAGGCAATGTCATGATGAAAATTCAAATAAACGGTTGGCTTTTTAATTTTTGAAATTGGCGTCCTCCTCTTCTTTGAATTGGGGGCAATTGTTGGGCCATGGAAGTGTAAATAGGTTGGCCCATCCCTAAGAGGCGGAATCCAACTAAACAAACGACCAACAAATCGGATAAGGATGGACTTAGTAGGAGTGCTCAACTGGATGACGGAACCTAAGGATTCGGCGACATTTCCGGCGGGCAGTTGCACTAAATGGATAGAGTTCTGTTGCTGTATAAATAGAGAAAAACCTAGAATAGAAGGACACGATCAACCCGGCTTGATAAAATAAGCATTTGTAACACCATTCTTTCAGAAATACATTGAGATTAATACATTTCCATTCATTCATCTTTCGGTTTTCATACTTTATTTCTTGTACGATCCCTACATACATATATATTTAGAGTAGTTTAATTCTTGCTTAAACAATGCTCACTTTTGATGATCCACGGTATAACAACCGCAAAAGTAGCGGTGGTACGTGAAATAATTTTTGAGTAGTGATCGGTGAGGACGGCAACATATACACGCATTAAAGAGCTTAAGTGGTGGGGACTAAACCGACCATACACGTGGGATTTCATTGCCTTGACCATTAAGTCTTTTTTATCTATAATCAATCTGTAATTATACATGTATATCACCTCAACAACACGTCGATGCAAGAATATTATGCGTCACATTCGCACCTTTTCTACGTGTACTTTTATCTCTTAGATGTCTACGTATAAGCTTTGAACAATTGTAAAGAGGTTTTCACTTGAATTCAAATATTTTGATTTAGTTTAAATTCAATTTGTCTTGATATACGCCTATTTTGTGTTTATTTTACAAAACAATGATTTGCTCAATACAGACCGACTCGAAGTCCTGTCTGTCCAATCCGTTTGAGGGGTTTTGAATGATTTTTTTTGATAAATTTTTTGAGCATGTTTTTCATGAAGGGTAGATTATCTTTACAAAATTTCATATTAAAATTCAATCGGGCGTCATTTAAATAAATTATTTTAAAATACTTCTTCATCATTACTCGAGTACCGCAAAGGCTCCATAACCTCCATCCTGTTCGAAAGCATTACGGAGTATAACAAAGCTGACACCCGAGAGCCGTGTGATTAACTAGATGATTATTTTCGAACCAATGGATTATTGCACATAATATACACTACCAAGAAGATTAATTTGATTCAATAAGCCGGTTGATGAATTCATGCAAGGGAAATGGTCATTTGGGAGTGTGGGATTTTTAGTCATTCTGGGTAGCAAGCATACGGGAGTTGCTGCGTTTTCATCAGGAATATTAATTTGTTTAATCCAATCCGTTTGATCTGTTCAGTAAAAGGCTATGTTTGGTAGACATAAGTTCATGTCTTCTAGCTTTTGTACTATTTAAAAAGTCTTTAAAAGCTTTTATTTGTATGTTTGACACACCAATTTTTAAGAGCTTTTATAAAAATAAAAGATCTTTTTTGAGATGTTACAGTTTGTAGCATCTCAGATAAGTCTGTAGCTTCTAGCATTAATTAGTCCTAACAGCTTGTATACCAAACAGGGCTAAATCAAACAGTCAGATTTTTACCAAACAACTAGTGCTTTATCTTTTTAAGATCTTTTCAGTCACTAAAAGCTAACAATTACTAAAAGTCTAAAAAGTTCATAAAAGTATATTTTCAACTAGTTGTGCCAAACATACCCTTAAATTTTGGTCTATATAAGGATGTTGGGGTGGTATTATGTGTTTTGGTATAATCAGGTCCGGTGAGGGTCTGTTTTATGTGAATCTTACACAATTGTATAAGGATTGAAGTCATTACAATTGAAATAGTCAAGGTGCTTTTAAGTTGGAGTGTTTCGGTTCCAAACCAGTTCATGAGTAACTTCAACAGACCAGATTTAAACAGATAAGATCATATCAAACTTAACAGACTAAATCAGACTTAAACAGATCAGACCTGACTTGACTTCCATATTTATAAACTACATAAAGACCGAACGTTTACCAGACCCGACAAGTTCAGATCAGATTAGATCAGTTCAGACCAGACCGAACCTTTAACTTAAAAATATTAAGTTAAATGGAATTAGTGAGGGAAAGATTGGTCGTGAAATTTGTACGAATGCAATATCATAATTTTACCACAAAATTCAAAGTTTAAATGCAAAAAGTTATGGAGATTTGAAAAATGTGTAATAATAATTCTTTAAAAGCATAATTTGGATTCTAAAAAATTAAAATGGAAAGTTAACTATAAAACTATACACATAATTGCATAAACACGTCAAACATGGTGCACTTGCTCGGTCACGCATCACCCAACATAACAAAACCTTGAAATGAAATTATAGGAAAATTAATAGTCGCGGATTACGTAGCGGTCCGTAACGGTACTGTAGTCTCTTTTTTGGTATTGTATCTTTGATTGATTTAATTTTTGTAATGAATCTTCCGTTAGATCGGTGGTCTCAGATGGAAGGACAAACTCGGTAGTCGATAAGGTATAGTACGTAGTATTATTTAGGTACGTTTGGTACAAATAGCTAAAATGATACATTTGTGAATATTTTAGTAACTATTAATTTTAGTGATTGAAAAATTTTAAAAGAAAAATAGTGTACATCTTTGATAGAAAGATGCTTATTCGATTTTATTATGTTTGGTACAACAAGCTATTGTGGCTAGTTTATATTAAAGGCTACAAACTTTCTTTCGAATGTTATCCACAGTAGTTTTTTAAAAAAATTATTATGAAAGAAATTCTAAAAAATTATCATGTCGAACAAACAATTACAAGTTTTAAAAGACTTTTTAAATAGTACTCTCTCCGTCCTCTAAAACTTTGTCATCTTTTCCTTTTGGAACGTCCTAAAAAACTTTGTCACTTTCCCGGCCTTTTAATCAATTATTTTGTGGTTTCTGTCATTTCTCTCTCCTCTGCACAAATCTCCACCACACAGTTTTTACTTTATTATTCTCCGTGCCGGTCAACTTTGACAAAGTTTTAAGGGACGGAGGTAGTATCAAAGCTTAACAAGTCAAATATACTCCCTCCGGTTCTTATTAAAGTTCCCACTTTCCTTTTTGGGATGTCCCTTATTTAAGTTCACACTTCCATTTTAGGAAACAAAACAGTGCAAAACAGTGCCAAACAGTGTCAAACAGTGTCCAAACAGTGCCAAACAGTGCCAAACAATGCACTCCACAGTAAAGTCAAATTCATTTTCTTAATATGTGTGAAGTCAAACTAATAACTTAAATAAGAACCGGAGGAAGTATGAGTTTAGAATATGCTTGTAAGTTGGTTTGAAGATGAGCTGTTCAAGAAGTATAATTTTGAACCGAGTCGAACACTATTATTATTGAGTTCGTATATTGTGATACCGGCCCACTATGAGCAATTGAGCACCATGCTTCCAAGAATAAAAAACGCATGAACAGTACACTCAGATGAACAATAATTTTTTGTGTGTTTCAATAGCAGTGTGGTGTAACTCCAGTTTAAAGAAATGTAACTTAAGTTGATAGGAAATGTAATTTGAGTCAAATTGAAATGTAAGTTGTCTGAAACGGAATATAAGAAGAACAAGATTGATTCCAATGTAAACAATGAAAAATTGATCCTAATTGCCCAATTACTTTTTGTAAATAGTGAATATGTTTTATTTTTAATATTATTAGGGGTATAAATTAAACCGATTTAGTTAAAACAATCATTTTTTATCCTTAGCAGTGATTTATTTAGAGGTGTAACTTGTGTACATTAAGATGTACCTCGCGTACATTAAAATGTAAATCTATAAAAGTTGAAATATAAACTATCTTATATATATATTATAAACATTGATTTCAATGCAAACAATGAAAAATTGATCTTAATTACCCAATTAATTTTTGTATATAGTGAATATGTTTTTTTACTATTAGGGCTAGCTATAAAAAATGATATAGTTAAAAAAATCATTTTTTTATCATTAGCAGGAGTTTATTTTGTGGTGTAACTCGCGTACATTAAAATGTATGTCACGCATAAAAGGATGTAACTCGCGCATAATAAGATGTAACTTCATTTTAATCAAATGTAAACAATAAAAACAAGGATTTTAATTGTTCAATTAATTAACGAAATAGGGAATATGTTTTTTTATATTAAGGTCATAAAAATGTTTCAATGAAAAACCATCTTTTTTTGCCAAAAAATCATAGCTTTTTATTTTTATTTTAATAACATATGAGTTTATTAAGTGATGTAACTTGTGTTATGGATAATGTAACTCGCGTTAATGGAGAATCTAACTTAGATGTGTGCAAAATATAACTTGTTGAGACAAAATTAAATATCTTTTTTTTGAAAGACAAATTCAAATA